AAGGGTAGGCTTCGATGTAGTATAAGTTTGGAAGAAAAATTGCCAAAGAAGCATATTTTTGTTATCGTTTACGTACGTTATAATATTTGTCTTAAGTGAAAGAATTGATCGAGCTGATTATTGATGGCCCTGAATTGAGGCAAATTTGCCGATTGTAAATAATTGTTTGATAAGCCTTTGCCGCTCGCGCAAAAGAAAGTACGTGAATAAACATTTATCGCTGGATATATCCTCTTGAACACAAAAATACTCGCTTAAAAGTCGACGATTCACGAATAAAATATCCTATGTACATCATGTACTTTCGGCCAAATGATAATAATGCCCAAGAATATAATAATATATGTGCATAATGTTACATTGGTCGTAGAGAGGATTTTATAGTTTAAATTTAAATTAAATGTATTGTTTTGTGCGCACGTAATTTAACGAGATGTCCAAATACATATATAACCCGTTCGCAGAAAATTTGTTATCGAGCACGGAATTAAAACGCACTCGCGTGCGTTAATTGCATTCGTTTTGTCGAGTTTCGAGTACCGAGAAACATAAGAGAAGTAAAGGCGAGAGAGTATGGAAATGGCGATGTAATCGTCCAAGACAGATCAGAATAAAATGGTAATGTAGCTTTGTCATTGAACGTTTGTGCGAGAGAAAAACACCGAAAAATGACATTCCGTCATTCTTCGAAAGTAATTCGTATTAATATGATATATATGATCTTGTATAGCGATTGTAATTTAATGTGATTAATACGTTTTGCGTTCAAGCAATTTGAATGTGAATTGTATTTGTTTGTTAGCCTTTTAAAAAAGTTCATTTTTATTCGAGATATTATAAATATATTTGTGTTACTGCAAATACACGCGATTGTTTGATTCAACGCCATTTATTTATCGCCTCAATCACAATCCTTTGTATTTATTCTTAACGATTATAATAATAGTAATAATGATCTATCGATCGACGAACGTACACCCTCATGATAATAAACAGATTTTAAGGTGAAACGACTTGACGACGTGCGCGAGCGTACACAAAATTTCCACATTTTTTAATCGCCCACAAATTCAAGCCTTCACGTCGTATTTCAACAGGCGTACGTTATATATATATATATATATAGATTGATAGATTGAAAAGAAAAAAGAGAAAAGAAAAGAAAAAAAAAGAAGAAAAAATGTTTCAAAATTTCAATCGATAAAGGCTAATAATAGAAGCAATGGACTACACGTGCAAGTGCATGCGACGATCAAAGATAAATGACGTAATATTTTGACGTCAAATTTTCAAGTGCTTATCGAGCATCGAGAATTTTATCCAATTTCAACGATCTTTATCATTAATTGACGCACGAGATTATAGTCTTTTATAAACAATCAATAAGCCTAATAGCATAGAGTAGAAAGAAACTCCCCTCCCATCATTTCCTTATCTCCGCTGTAAGGCAATGTACTATAATCGCGACGATTGATTGTCATTATCAATCGATTGAAATTCATCGAACGAAGCAAGTTTTCCGACTGCCGTGGAAGCAAGCCTCGCCGCATTCCATCCCCTTCGCTCCGCCGATCGAGAAACCGAGGGGTCGCGGGCACCGGCCAGGCCCCCAAATCCACGATTTTCGAATTCGCCCGCGACCGTTATCCCATCACCTTCTCACCTTCACAATTATTCGATTACGCGACATCGGCCAGCCCGATCGTCGGCTATTCGTAACATCAAAATCGCCTATCTCTCTCCCAATCCCTCGCTACTTGGCTAAAAACGCCATAGTTGCCAAGAAAAAAGAAAAATAAAAAGAGACAGAAAAAGTAACGCACGACCGCCTACTTGGCGCACGCTACCATCGCTCGATAAGACGTCGCACTCGCGCCTATTCCTCCCGTAATTAGCCTTGGCTGATTAGTCGAACCGCGAGGTCGATGGTCCCCGAGCAGGTGAATCAGCGATCGCGTTGCCGTCGAGCACTGCGTCCCTGCGGAGAAGCCTCGGGCTTCACGGTCGCACCCCTCGAGCTTATTTATCGACGACGGCGTCATTGTCTCGTCACCTCGGATCCCAGGGTCCGATCCGTACGGACGTTCCGCGACGATCGGGGGCAAATGCCAAGGAGCGAAAGCACTAGTGACACCTACGGCGCGACCGACGAAAGTCATTTGTCATCGTACAAGCGAGCATTGACGTTGGAATGCACGTAGGGGGTCGCAATGGCTACACGGAAATAGCCGGCAGATTGTAAACAACGCGTTAGGTGTCGTCGTCGTGTGCGCGCTCGCGATGCCGACAGTCATGGTGTGTGGTATGGATGGCGACGGTAGCGGTGTAGTGGTAGCGGTGCGGCGGTAGCGGCGGTGAGGCGAGAGCAGCAAGAAAAGTCGAGGGGAACCTGTTATTTGACGGCTGCGTGTTTGTACTCGGGTGCGTGCGTTCTCGTGTGTTTGTAAGCGCGACGTACAGCAGCAGCAGAAGCAGCAGTAGTAATAGTAATGGTAGTAGTAGTAGTAGTAGTAGTAGTAGTAATAGCAGCAGCAGCAGCAGCAGCAGCAGCAGCAAAAGCAAAAGGAAAAGTAAACGTGCGAGAGTTGAACCTTGTCGGGGTATTAGTCGGTTTGTTTCTTTTTTACGTAATCGATGCGGAGTACGGTGACGTGAAAATGCCGAGATAAGTATCGCATCTTAAGGACAGTGTGACGGCGATTTTATATCCAACGAGCAAACATGAGAGGCATATTGATATTCGATCAGTTGAACGACGTTTTATTTACAAAGTGCAACAAGAAGTTCGCGAATCACATTCAAAAGCTGGCCAAATTACAAGGACTCGTCACCGAGAGCAAAGTAGGTTAACGCCGCATTTATTTAACGAGTGAAAATTGTCAAATTAGCCTGACATCGCATTTTGAATTGCTATAAGCGTGGAAAGTTGGTGTTTATCTAGCTGCACACAGTGTCACCCAAAGTACTTGCAAGCTTGTTATTAGATGTACTGGCATTGTTATTTGATTATCGCGATGGATGTTTCTCTTGGATATTTCATAGTAGTGGGGTTGTTTGGAAATGCAAGCGCTTAGTTGACATTGTTGTATGGTCGAATATGCTTATGTTGACTGCGAAACTCTGCACACGCAGGGATGAAAGTCGTATTACGGCGTGTGCAGGCAGACGCATATACGTATATGTGATTTTTTTTTCATTGTTTATCAATCAATGATCCTATGTATCGATACATTTTTTTCATTTTTCAGAATGAAAGCAATTCGTCAAGATCAAACTTCAAGCCCAGTCCAAATATTATCATGCAACTGTTTTCGCCAATTGTCACGTCCCAGCATATCATGGCATCGCAATTTGGCAACACTTATACGTCGATGAAATGCCAAGATGGCACAAATATGGTATTCAATGAATTCATGGGGTATATGTTTATTTATATTTCCAACGAAGAGCTGGAGATAATGCGACGAACGATAGGTGTATGCATTACCGTCGTGAGATATCTCTGTGGTCCGGATGTTTCCTTGTGAGTGAAAAAGAGCTTGTCAGCGCATGTGATTTAATCATTTTATACGCATTGTCTATTGTGTCGAATGTACAGAGCGTTGAATTCATAATTGGTGGTAATCCGGCTTGCGCTGAGCTAATTAATAACTAGTGCCCTTGTCCTTTGACTTTTCTAGATTGAAAATAAGCAAACAGAGGGTTCAGATGGTCTCCTTTCTCTTGGATGCATGGAGCGATTTGAGAGGTTCGGAACAGAATATTCTAACCGAAGCTGTCGAACAATTATCGGTAAATGCGGATCTGGCATCCGCCACATTGAGAATATTGAGCGACGCAGCTGACAAATTGAAAGCTCAGTCGGAATTCTCTAATGTACACGTTTTGATACTCGTTGAGCACAAGTTCCTCTCCCTCTTTTCCAGCAAAAATGCTCAGGATTTATTAGCATCGGACATTTTGATGATGGTACTTTTATGCTACGTAGCCAATAAGAATAAAACTGGAGAGTACAGCGCTCGTGAAAATGATTCCAATAGCGATTCTATTCTTTTGTTTCAAAATGGTTCGTCGAATAAAATGGAAATCAAGCCTCGTGGGCATTTTGGAAAATTGTCTAATCCCACATCGGAGGACATAAATCATTTATTTGGTACGAATGTCCCTTCCAAAATTGTCGACTAGAATATTAAGTTTGTCGGTAAAAGCAGAGAGGGGAAAATTTAAATCAATATATATATATATATATATATATTCGCTTATTTTACATTTGCTTTCAGAAGGTTCCAGAGATTCATCCATAAGCGAAGGCCTTTGCCTATACGCTCTCGATGGATTCTATAGTCAATTAATGTTTCTTGGTTCCGAAGAGACTGGTTACACGGCCAACACTATTCACATATCCGAATTGTCAGAGGGAATAAATTTAGTAACGATAGTCGAAATGACAAATCTGACGATTTCATCTGGATTGTACGATAGCTTTCGCTATTTAAATATAATAAATGGACTTCAGTTGCAAAGGGATATAGATGAGCTGAGGCCAGCTTTTGATAACTTAGAAGTAGCTATTAAGAAGACCTTGGACGGTATAAAGAAAAATAGAGCAAACGTTAGTAATGAGGTTGACATGTACCAAAGGCGAATGCAAGTTAAATGGGAGTTTGTTAAGAAAAAGTATACAGAACTGTTGAAATCTAGGGACGTCGAATCAATTCTGCAAGTAGAATCAAATACAAGTAGCTTCCTCGATGCGCTGAAAGAACTCTTCAGAATGACATGTCTGAATAAAAATTTCCTTAAGCATGGGAAGGATGTGATAATGACCGTTAGTAGACTTGTCTGTCATAAGCTGAACGACTTCAATGATTTCCTAAAAGTCAAAGCTTTAAAGAACTTCACTATTGGATCATATCCTTTTTTTACTTTAACACCGTAGATTATTGGTGAAAGTATTAGCTAAGCTTTATTATTATAATATAGTCTATAATAATGAATATTTTATTATCGCTGCTCTTTAAGTAACTTGTAGTTAAGAAATTAAGAATACGTTTAATGCGATTGGTATTGGCTGTAATAGGTCTATTATATTACGGTAATGCTTTATTGTTTACATACATTTGCAATGTATTAAATTTGAATTAAACTCTTAAGATAAAAACCGAAAGATAAACTAACATAGATTTTATTCTAACGCATTGTAGATTGTTTTAATGTTAAAAGCTACTAAAATGTCTTTCCACTGTTGTCGATCACAAATTTACAAATGCTGTGTGCATTTGTTGTTTTTGTTTTTTTTCTTCTTTTTATGACCTTGATTAAGTTCTGAACAATTTTTAAAATTGAATTCGACATTATTTTTATGTTGCTCGCATCTTTTGCTGGGAAAAACAATGGAATCGATCATATGGCTGTTTTTACTACGATCGTTAACAAATTTTTCAATTAAATTACCCTAATCTTGGAAAATTTTTTCTCTTACTGCCAATACAGAAACGTAGTGTACTCATTGTTATGGCTTCATCATTATTAAATTTAGTACATACACGACTGTTTAGGAAATGGAAGCTAAAAAACAATGTCCCCATCGAAACGTACAACGTAAAACAAACTATATGAGAAAATTGAAGTAAAAAGGCATAAATAAAACGATGCAGAATCTTCATTACTTGTATTTATTGACATCGACTGATGCACATACCTTACAGTTTGGTCCAATTAATTATTCTGTTAAATAAATAAGTAAAAGATGCTATACGTCTATATTTATTATTAACGTAACATATTAACCAGGATAAATGCATTACTTGTTTTATTTGCATTAGAGAGTTATTATTAGAGAATTAAAGACAAAGATATTAAAAACTATTTGAATAAACCCAAGTAATGAAGGATTATGAGTTTCTTCCTATTCTTATAAATTTTCATTAGAAATCGTGACTTTGTATTATTGCCATTTTAGCGAAAGAACATTTGCATTAGAATTTATTGTTCAAATGAAATGCCGACGGAACGTAAAAAGCTCATTCGTATGTAATTTATTCTTCAAAACACCTATTTCCTATTTTATTTATTCAATCCACGTCAACCCGTAATATTTTCTCATTTTGATTGATTTTAGTACCCGTGATGACGTAGCTCATAACAATTATAGATCCTTAATATCTATATAATAGAGTAAAATAAAATTGCATTTTATTTGTGGAATGATTTACAGTGTAAAGACAAATTAAATTATTACAAGCTGGTTTGTAAAATTTTTCGTCGATATGCAGCAAATAATAATTATATCCCAATTATTAAGAGATGCGAATGCAATGTTATTAAAAAGTAAATGTCGCTTATTGTAAATATAAGTTGTTGCCTATTAATGCTTTTGAGTATTTGTCCTTAATGCTTAATTCTGCATATACGAGAACTTCCCTAACGATCAACAAATATCTGGAAGAATTTCCTGGTCTAGTGCACTTTATATACATTGACAGGACGACTCACAGATTAATTGCTCCTACGATAGATTTCACAAATTGCGAAACACTAGCATTAACAACGAGAAAGGTAAATGTTATAATTTCAAAAAATAATTTCGACAATTATGATAAATCTACTTTATTAATTATTATTTAATATAAGAAATAAACTGAATTATTGCGAGGGGCTTATGTGAGTCGAGTAAATATTTACAACAGCGTTAAAATTTTTCAAACTTTTATTTAAAAATTTTTAAATAAATATAATATCAATGGCTTTAGGAAGGTAATGTTACATCATTGTTACATCATTGTTACAGATATGGAACATGGTGGAACAGAGTAGAATACACCTTCAGGAAGGGCATATGTCTATAATGTGGAAAGATACAACATTTAACTACGCTTACTTCTTGTGGTTCGAAGATAGTTCGGTATGTTGATTTAAACAATTATAAAATACTTTTACGTGTCAATTACTTTATCAATTAAATGACGTTTTCTTTTCTTTTCCTTTTTTTCTTCTTTTTTTTTCTTCAGGGTTCACCACTTAAATGCAAAACGTATTTTAATCACATGTTGAGAAATTTTCCAGTACCTGGCATTTTCTGTGGAGATTATTACAGGTTTGTATCGTAACAATGAGAAATTTTTAAGTTTAAAGTCGATAATAACATAGGACTGTTGATTAATATCGAAATTATTATCATCATATCAGACTCAAATTAGTAAATTAAAATTATTATTAGCAAATATCGCTTAAAAATAACGAACTCTAGTTTTTCAATACAAAAATAATTCTCTTATTAACATTTTGTTGTGAGAAAAAAACATCTTTCTTCTTTCTTCTTTAATTATAAACGTTAACTTAAATATAATACTTAATGAATTCTTTAAATTGTTGATTAATTTTAATATTCATTTTTTACACGTATATCATGACTATATGACATTTATTATGAAATTAATGCTATGTAACGTGAATTTACGTGTTTGAAATTATGTATTTGAAATGATGTACAAACATATCGATTAATGATCATCTTAACGACGTATGACGATTTCAACTTTTCGATACAAGTATTTTTTCGGTAAGAATTTTCAAAAATAATAATTCAAAAATAAAATCTAAAATACCTCAAGTAAAATAAATTTAATATTAAGATTTCAATTGCAATGGCGATTTCTAATTTATGTTAATTAACTTGGATACTTTTTTTTATTATTAACAAAAGATAATCGTATCATTCGAAAACAAATGAACTCTTGTTGTTTGGTCTATTTTCCGCACATTCAAATATGCAAACGCTCTTCTACTAAATACTTTGTTTGTTTGTTGTTATTTTTTTTTTTTTTTTTTTTTTTTTTAATATATATATATATATATATATATACATACATATAAAAAAGTAAACGTTTTCTTAGTTTAATAAATTATAATAATAAATTTCTTCTAATAAATTAACAAATTGTACTAACTAGAGGAAACTTTTCAAGCAAAAATTTACGTTTCTCGAAATATCTATTATTAAGTGTTTTCCTTGAAGTATTTTCGCTTTTAATCGCCATGAAATGTATCAATAATGAGAGAAACTATTTTTTTTTTTTTTTTTTTTTTTAACCATACTAATCCTCGAGACGTGCACAGGGAGACTACAGTTGTCCATCCACCACCTCTAAATTATCATTTAAATCCACTCGACACGGCTGTGAGACCCAAAGCAAAAGACGTTGTTCCAATATCCTAGTCAATCAGTCGATATAAAACCAAAACCAGTAACGATCCTCGACAATACCAACAACTGGAACTTTTATCATTGTTAATATCACACGCATATTGTTTTTATTGTCGTAGAAAATTAGCAGATACCTATTTCCCTAAGCTCTCGGCAAGCAAGATCCGGATTTACGAACTATACTGTGTTCATCTAGGCCTGGCTACGTCCTCCTGCGTGCTCGAACACTCGCGGCGACTTGCGGCGACCATCTGGGAAGTTACCGGGCTGCCCAACAACCCCGCGGACTTAATTTAAAAATACAGCCACTATCTATATGTATATGTATATTTGCGATGGACATTTAGGAAAAAACAGCTCGAACAATTGACGAGCACTAAACTGGCGTGTGTACATAACGTAATGAGTTACGTGTATTAGGAATGAAGCCGTTTAACTCGGGAACTAACTGACTATACCCAGCGTACAATTCCGTTGGCAATGAAGCTTTCTGCTTACGGAAAGAATTGTATGTGTTGAGCTGTCGTAATGAGAGAGAGAGAGAGAGAGAGAGAGAGAGAGGTAAAGAAACGATTGGAGAGGAAGAAAAGATGCTGTTGACTATTCGTCGTGTCCCACGATGTTCGAGAAACGAAGAATAATTGAACATAATAATAATAGCGAATCGCTCTGGTTCGTCAACTTCGGCAACAGGAGCTCGACTTTACGGAGAATCTCTGTATTTATTTGTTAAAGTTCGGGATCCTTGTGGTCGGGCAATCGACTGTCGATTTTTCGGCCATTTGACACTATTGTTGATTCGGTTATTACTTCGAGTTGTTCAACGTCTGTGAAGGACGCAGAGACCGTGGTCGAGTTATATTTGTCGGGACACTCGCAACGAATGCTATTGGTAATGTTACTCTGTTGCGTCGATTGAGATGAAATTTTTTCACTGCTACTCGCCTCCGTGTTACTCTGTAATCGAACAAAACGTTTTATTAATGATGACGCATGACGACTCGGATAATGACGAACTTCTTATTTACAAATCTCTGTCTAGTTCAGTCAATAATATATAATTGTATGACCACTTTCATTAGAGATTTTTCATTAAATATCATATCATTCGAACGATTGTTTAGTAAATTTTATGTAAAATATATTCGTAACTTTTAATATACCTGCTCTTGTATAGAGTGAAAAATATATATCAAGACATTGTTTCCCATCCTCTACTATATTTAATACTCACGTACACACATTTAACGCATTCTATTAGCACATTAAAATATTTATCAAAATTATAGAATAAATATTATGTGCATTGTAATTCGAGGATGTCAAATGAATTTTTGTGAAAAACGTCGATAAATCAAAGCAATTTCTAATGTGATAATTTCTTCAAATATTCTCAATATCACTCGATTATACCAAATGATAATGTATACGAAAAATCTATATATAATTTAATTTTGAATTTACTATTGACAAGCATCGATTCTAGATAAATTATTATTTGTGTTAATGACCTACTATCCAACATGTGAATAAATACATTTATCTATTAAAAGAAAAGAATGAATTTCTCTAAGAAAATATTCTACGTTCTACATTTTAAAAGCATTACTTTTATATAAAAGTGTAATTGGCGTAAAAAACATTTTTAATGAATAAATATACAAATAATTTCGTATTAACCTATAGGACGTTAGTTAATTTTCAACAAAATTAAAAAGCAACTCCCCCCCCCCACCCGCCCAACCATATGGATATTTAACTTTATTCGATTCAAAATATATTAGAATCTGTCATGGAATTAAATTTTAATCGTAACTATTTAATGCAGTAATTTCCTACCTACCTCATGTAAACGACAAACATTTGGTAAGCCCAATGATTTCTTTGACTCGTCAGAATCCAGCTTTAAGTCGTTGTCCAATTTGCTTTCACCCTTTTCATTTTTACGTCTTAAGCTTTCCGATTTACAATTTTCAATAAACTGCTTTTGTCGAAGTTCATTAAGTTCTAATTGGAGATCCGATATCAGTTGATCAGATTTATTGGCTTCAACAATCAATTTAGCCAAATGATTTTCAGCAGCCTTTTGTATTATTTGCACGGAATCCACGCTCGTTTCATTTATCAAATTATCCCTACAAATGATAAAATGATCGACTGGCTGATAACGATGGAAATATTTACAGGTCACTTAAATTTGTTTTCTTACTTCACCGATGCGTATATTGAATCGAAAGCATCTGATTTATGTGACGAATGTAGCGTGGGCTTGTAATTATACCCATCCACTTTTGTGGCATCGGCTCCTAGATTATTTACCTTCAACGGCACTGGTAATATCTTATACTTTGTACTATTAAAAGAAATGAAATAACATTATAACGACATCTCTCGTACAATAAAAATTTCTTTTACAATTTCAATTATACATATTTTTATATCTATACCTATTGTAGCTACGTATAATTTAACTATATAGTCTTAACTACTTTTAATAAAAATTGAGAATAAATTTCTCGGAAAATATTTGTTATAATTCAGAACTTTTGTGTTAAGCGGTAGAGCATTGTTGGCGACAAGTCCACGATATTAATCTTAATGACTATTTCTTATAATTTCTTACAAAAATGATTGGATTTATAAGATATTACAAGAACATATTTGCAATTTTATTGGCAATTAAAATCATAATCTATAATTTCTACAATAGGTTTTATATAAATATTTGCAAAGTATATACTATTATCTATATTTTATGCAGAATGTTAAAGTTAACATTGCGATAATGTAACGAATAAAGTAAAGTAAAAGAAAACATGTAAAGTAGAAAATTTTGTTCTTTTTAAAAAGTATTGGTAAAATTTTAAATATGGGCAATACGTTTAATCGCTATGATAATGACCTTGAAATTTTTTCATATCGAAAGAGATGATGCTTAAACTTATATGTACCGCCTCCTGCAGATACCGAAGAGTTCATAAGACATAATATAAAATTGTCTTTTCTTTGTATGTTATTTATCTTTGAGAAAAAAGCTGATAACTGGCAATGTAAAATTTTATCTCTAATCGATGCTCTTATAGGCAAATTTTCTCGATAATGAAACCATCCCACAACTTGTTTAATATTATCTTTTAAAAAATTCTTTAAAATTTCTTCATCAAGTTTTCCAATGGAGTTGTAAAAAGGCTTGCTTATAGGGTAAGCCTCCACACTTTTTATATCTAAAAATAAAATACACTTTGATACACTCTGATACGTGCACATATATATATATATATATATATATATATATATATATATATATATATAATACCTATTTTACCGATTTAATTAATTTTAATGGCAGATAAATCTGTTCTTGTACATTTCTATTGCTAAAAGTAGTAAAAATATTCTCAAATTGTTTCTTAACATATTAAACTTATTTAATAATTACACGGCTTAAGATTATTAAACGACAAAAATTAATTTAATCAATATTGGTTTAAAAAAAATACTCTTATATCAAATCTTACTTATGTGACGCTTAACATACTCGATATTTCTATCAGAATCTGTAACAATTTTATTAATATGTTCGACAATTTCTCCATATAGAAATCCAATCTGGAATAATAAATTGCTCAAATTACTGTAAGTAAAGACTGATAAGAATTACCAATAGGCTGGTGTGTTGCATAGGTAATAAAAGGCAGATTGAATTGTAACAAATTGTAAAAGCGAATGGAAGATTGCGAAATACTTGAGTTGAAAAACAATTGAAGGGTCGTAACTCGAGCCGAACGGTAAACAATCCGACATATTGTATGTCACATTAGTCGCGCGTATATAGTTGCAAATATACATCGAATTAAGCAAAACCACAAAAATTCATTATCAACGTATAATGAGAGTGGCATTACCATAAATAATAATTAAAAAAAATAACATTAAATTAAAAATAATGAATAAATTCTAATGTTAATATAATAGAAACGAGTACGGTAGTACGGTTAACTAGGTCAATTATAATCTCTACATCAGGCAGAGATCATTTTAATAAGAGAGAGAGAGAGAGAGAGAGAGAGAGAGAGAGAGAGATAGAACGGGACATTAAGCTCTAAGGTACAAAACAACCCTTACCTGATCATGGCTCCTCCTGTTCTCGTAAAGCAGGAGAGACAAGGCGGGCCCCGAAATCATAGCGAGCAGTTCATCGTTAGCCATTGCGAGGCTTAAAACGCTCCCAAAGTCCTTTGGATCTTTTACGCTCTTAGCAAGGGTCTCTCAAGGAACACAGCCGCGAAATCTAATAACGCGTACCTCGACCTTGGCAACTCCTACCGCACGATCCAAATGTTACAATCGTAAACGCGAACTCGTCTCGCGCATCCGGTCTCCGGTCTCCACCTTCCCGCGGCTAAACGGCGCCTCTGCTGTCTACCGGCACGCGCACGCGCACACGTACTTATGCCCTCCCCACGGCTACGGCCACCAACCACGTGTTCCGTAAAAGAAACAAAAAGAGAAAAGAAAAAAACAAGTGAAAAAGAAAAAAGACAATCGTCGTTCAGGCGGTGACACTCGCCGGCTGTTGCGTCCAGGATAAAGACAGTTGCTCGCTTGGTGTTCGATTACCGGGACACCTCGGGGATTTGGCTTTGGAGGACGAGGGCGGACGTAACACTTCATCGCGCTTTCGATTTGTCCGGCAGATCGTCTTGATGATCATAGCCACCAGTGCAATTGCCAAGGGTCAAGGTCGAAGCTTAATGTCCTACAACAGATCGGGAGTTTCCAATTCAGTGTTTCGTTTGTGTGGCTGAGGTGACGAAAGGTCCTCGGTTGACGAAATTTGCAGATAATTAATTAAGAATTACGCAGGCTGCTTGCTAGCATTATTATGGTTTTGCACGTCCTCGCGCAATTTAACAATAACAATCGCGACAAAGAAAGAAAGTAGATAAAGCAAATCCTCTCACTGCCTCGATTGATTAGTCTGTTCGTTTGGAAATAATTGTTGTCGATTGTCGATAATTTTGTTATGGCAAACTTTTTCATAATAATGATGAAAGTTGGGTATTATTAAAATAATATAAGCTTTGAGATTGCTATGGGACAGCTTATATACTCATAGGCTTTCTTAATTGCTCGCGTGAGTCGTTGTGCCGGCGTCGAGGAACGCAATTCGGTCGCACGAGAGGATGAAACAAATGTCGAGAGAGAGAGAGAGAGAGAGAGAGAAATAATTCGACATCGTCTTCGATTAAATTAGTTCGTATTGGCGTGGGCGTTAGACGGATTCAGTCGATTCCTCTAGTGACGCACGCGATAGACATTTCAACGAATTCACTGGCTTCGTGTCGCAGAACTCCATGTACATTCAATGTTATTCACACAAGTTAATTACACGTGAACGACAATTCCGAGTTACATCTCCTGACAGAGAGCGAGAGAGAATATATATGTATATGTAAACTAGAGCGAATCGAATGACCGGACATACAAGGATTCTTGGAAGAATCGCGGGTTGAGTTAGAAATCGATGATCGCTTTCAAGTACATTAGGGTTAATAAAAGACAAAAAGTTCTCGCAAGAAATCCATTAAGAGAAGAAGAGACGAGTGTTGGTTAGACTCGATAGTAGACGAGGCCAAGTTTAGGAGTCTAGATCATTTGAAACGGCCTTTGTCTGAATTTTACAGGGCGGGAAAGTTTCGTATTCTACATCTTACCCTTCGCGTTTCTGCTAGCGGGACCTTTTCCTCCATCGAGCACCCTCTTTGCATTTGCATATTGAAATTGTTCGGAGGCGGGGGTGGTCGCTTGGAAACTAGTTGAAAATGTTTACAATGATTAGGGAGTTGCGCCCGGCCATTGCTACATTCGTGCATAGTTCTTTGGGCATCGTCGAGTCACTTTTGCACGAACTACCATTGCTCGCGTAATATTCTCACGTATCGGTAGTTTGCTAATTCGAAGCTCATTGTGCAATGATGCGATGCCGATGTGATGTTGAATAATAATCAATTGCGTGTTGCCGTATCATTGTACACGAGAGCAAGCCAATTCTCAGCTCTGCGACTATCAATATTACATTCAACGCTTAACGATTAGCCCAACTAATATATTCCCTGTATTAATGCATTATTTAGTACGAAAACGAGGGGACGCGCAAGCTTCTTGGTGAAAAGATGTCGAGAGAATTTGTTATTGAAAGCCTTTTTTGGATGCTGCGTTCCACGTAATCCAACAAGAGCCAACTTAACTTGTCCTATAGGCTGTGCATCTCCATTGCAATAAATCTCTTGATTATAATGACTATTATTTGAATATTTGAAGAAAGGCTTTATTTATCATCATTGTTATTATAATTTTTGCGAAAATTACCTCGTCGAGTGTAAATGACAAAGCCTCGGTATAATAACGACAGGAGCTTAACAAATGCTAAATAATAAAAATAAACGAAATAAAACAAAAATTCTTGCGAAACATATGTACACTTAATGGAAGATATCACATGGATCATAAAGTTCCAAAGTTAAAACCGTTGATAATGAAAACGCGATAATAAATATTGATTATGGTGTCCCAAGGACCACACGTTGCGTTAAATACGTTTTTTTCGCGGCTGCGTGACTCGAGTTATTGCACAGAATTTTACAAACATCTATTCATAAACAGGCAGCACGTACTTACAGAAAGTACTTTTATTACAGACCAACGGCTTTTGTAAATCATCGTTGATTAACTTCACCAAAAAATTTACATCGAATGTCTATGCATCATTATTAATACTACGGGTTTTTATCAGTTTCAAAGCTTAAACCAAAATTGATAAATAATAAATATGTCCTCACATCGGACTATCTCTTATATTCTGCAATAATATGACCTTAATTTTAATGAGAGATTCGTTCAATTTTAAGATCTCACTAGCGTTCCTTACATTATGCATTACAATTTTATTTGCGATGCTAGTTAGAAGTGGTAAATGTATATTGTCGATGTTTATCCTCGAGTTACTTGATATTATTCATTATCTGGTCAACTAACGGTACGGCGCCAAGCGATTATCATTTCAATAATCCCAATCCGAAACCTATTCCTCGATTCTTCGCTCTCTCTCTCTCTCTCTCTCTCTATCTATCTATCTATCTATCTATCTATCTCACTCGACGGACATTGACACGTACATAACTGTTACCTCTGCTACCATAATTAACTAAACGACTCCTACACATAGCTTAGAAAAGCTAAAGTTCTGAAACCATCGAAATACCTCGCAATTTATTAGAGACGCAAAATTTTTAGATTTACATTAAGATGTAAAAGACATTCATAGCCGACGGAGATATACATTATACCGTGTAAAGTAAATTTTATCGATTTCACCACGTTTTCGTACATTTTTATAAGTTACGGTAAACAAAACCTGATGAGTCAAAATATTAGTTTTGCAATGGCATAGTAAACTTTTCAGTCTTCCACGTTTCTTCATACATGAAAATTTCAACGATAATATTTGATTACTATAAATATGGCAGAGGTTTATTATATTGAGAGAATGGCATACTTTCTTTCTATTGTTTTAACAACAAGAAATTAATGATAATTATAAAAAAAAAAAAAAATTTGTAAAAGCTGCTCACAATGCTGTTTTTTATATGAAGAAATTAATCAACAACGATAATAACGATAATAATAGTTTTATAATTAAGCAATATATTGTCAAATAAAAATCATAATTTTTGTTTTTTTTTTTTTAAGGAAATAAAATATTAACGTTGCATTGTTATTGATCAGAACGATATCTTATATTAAAAGAATTTTTTTTCTTCCATAATTTATTACAAAATTCAATAAATACTTATGAACTATATGTATTGGTTTGTTAAATTTTTAAAATTTTAAATTGCTAGTAGTGTTTCGAGATACATACTTTACTTTGTTGTCCTTAAAAATCGATTATATTTACTTGTACATTAAAAATGTTTGTTATTGATATGTGCAATACATAGTAAGTATAGGTATTATCGCATGAAAATAACTGAAAAAGAAAAAATATTCTCGATTTTTGTTCTATAGTTCACAATATCTTTAATAATAATGGAAAACGATAAAATAACATTTCTTTTATTTATAAATGATGTTAAAATAAAAGGTAAATATGCTTTATAATAACGAAGCTGCTATTGTTGACTGATTAAAGATTTATCTCTCTCTCCTCCCCCCCCTCTTTTTTTTTTTTTTTTTTTTTTTTTTTTTTTTTTTTTTTTTTTTTTTTGTAGTATAATCAATTCAATGTATATATATATATATATATAATATAGTATTATAAAAACTGTTATTGGATCCCGATTATAATTGCAATTTATCGTCACAACTGCAATATTTAAAAAACAAACGAAACTTTACATTAAATTTAAAACGTATACGCTTGGCGTTCTTGCATTAAAAAAAAAAAAACATATTTTTCATATAATTATATGTTCGTTTTCATAAAAGGCTTACATGTAACAAATATTTCAATAGTTAATTTAATATGAAATCCTGGCTTAATTATCAGTATCGGATGAAAGTTTGTTCATTTAAATAATAGTTGATAATTGTTGACTGTTTGCTTTGTTGGGGCTGCTTGTCTTGTAACAAAAAGATGTTTATATTTCAGTTATATCGTTGATTTAAAAATAACTTTAATTTAGTATTTAAGATAAATATCCATTGTCAAGTATCAAAATAAAAATAAAAAAAAAAAAAAAAAACAAATCCCATTCTTTCTTATTAATGTTTATCGATAAGTTATTAGAATGCTTAAATTTTATTACCACATTAATTATGAGCGTTACGTCTGTAAATAACTTGACCAATCATGTTTTATTGAAATTTGAAAGAATTAAAGAATAGCAATTAGTTTTATATTACTTTTAGTTTCTCGGCTATTTAACATTTTTGAGACAACATTATTTTAAATTATCCAAGTATCTACAGTAAAGTAATGAAATGTTCAAATAGTTTGAATTTACAAATTTGCTAAAAATATATTTAAGAAATTTTACTAAATATTCTATAAAATGCTTCAATCATAATTATATATTATACTAAAGCTTGTTTTTTAATATATTTTATGTTGTTGTTGTTGTTGTTATTATTATTATTATTATTATTATTATTATTATTATTATTACTGTCGTTATTATTGTTGTTATCGTTGTTGTTGTTGGTGCTATTGTTGGTTTTTATTTCAATTGAAATCAAATGATAATTTAATAAATAAACTGATTGCAATACATATATTGACATTTAAAAGTT